TAGACCGTCCCATTTCACAAGCCTCGCACTTCCGGCCTTAGCGGTCTTTAAGTAGCCTCAACGATCCTCAAGGGATCGTTGAGGCTGCGTACTTTAAGGCTGCAGACCCTGAATTGGGATATAGCCATGATTAGTTCGTTACCAGCCCCCTGGAGAACTTCAGGACATGTTGAGGAGCTAATTTAGCCATTTAAATCAGCTGTGTTGGTTCAAGGACACCGGCCCTCGAGGCCTGGAGTTGCCCACCCCTGATCTACCGTATCCTAGTGAGTATGAGCCTCTGAAAAATGCTGGCCAACAAGAATAAACAAACCTTTACTTTTAAAACAATATATATCACACGTTCCCTCATATTCTTTTATGCCTGCACACTTGAGTTGATGATGGCTGCACTTAAAAATGACCTTTCATTAAATCCAAGTCTGGCAGGTCAGATCGGTCGGCAGCACTCCAAGCAGATCAGCTGATGAGCTCAGTGCCATCTCCCACCCTTTCATTACACATCAAACTATATATAAACTATATGTTGTTATATTTCTCCTCTGTTCGGTGCTCGAGTCCTGTTGCCCTGCTCTCTGACGTCTCAGGCCAAGAGTAGAGCCATGTCCCCAAATACAAATATCAAATTGGAGACATTAATTATTTTCTAACTATGGTGTTCCAAATGTAACTGGAATAAAGTTTCATGACTGTGTGAAGGCAGGAATTGTGGACCCAAGAGCAAACTTGTGGAGACAAAAGTGAACTTAAAACTACTCAGCTTTATTGCTCGACAGCAGGCAAATCAGAAAACTGGCAAAGTAACTAAACTAAACAAGCAAACAGGCGGGCAGACAAAACACACAGTGGGGAATGACACGACAACGAGCAGGGAGAGACGCAGACACTAAATACAAGAAGTGAACAGGACAGAGAGGAAACAGCTGGGAGACAGGGCTGACACTGATTACACAGACGAGAAGGAGGAGCACACAAAACTGAAAACACTAACACACAGACCTTCAAAGTAAAACAGGAAACTCAACACATATGCAGACACAGACTCAGAACTGACAGAACAGGAACAGAGCGAGTACAGAACCGAAACCTACCAAACAGCAAATCTTAACAAAAGATATAACCAGAATAAACGAGAACAAAAGATAATATAAACAAACACAAAACACCGAGACATCAGACTCAGGACATAAAGTTAAAAAGTAAAACCTATAAAGGTAATAATTACTCATGAAAGTATGATACAGATCTTGTTGCATTTTTCTGCAGACCTTCATAACCAAAAGAGGACAGATGTTGAGGATCTGCCAGATGTTTTGACAACTTTTGGTTGGTGCTTTGCTTTTTTTTTTTGTCTTTAATGTGTTTTTTCTTTGTTAATTAAGAAATAAAGAACAGTGACAGTGGCCGGTCTGTCCGTGCTGCTCAGGAGTTCCTGAGCAAGGCATTAAATATTGAGCTGCTCGCTGGTCAGGAGTGGAATGAGTGAATGAATTAATGAATGAGTGGTATTTGCCAACTCCAAGTGTTGAGCTTATCCACCGGTGGTGTTATGGGCCCGACAAAGCTGTGTCAGTGGCATTTAGAATGGCAGTAAGACATTTAACGCTGGCGTCACCGCTTAAAATGTGAGAAACAACAGTTTCAGAAAGCAGGCTGATGAACACATTCCCAAAAGACTGCTCAGCTTTATATGTTATCTGTTTCATGAATTTGTCAAACACAGTATTACTTTTTTCAAACAGTCTTCTTGTAGGGCCGAGATAACTGAATACTTTTTAAAGCTTTGTAACAGATGATATTGTTTCATGAATTCCCTCCTTTGTTTTTGTCTCGGTATTTTCCGAGAAATACTCTGAAAAAACTAAATATCTGAGTGCAAGCTGTTCCACAAATGATACAGAAATGGCGTTTCTGACTGAGTTCACAGCCTGCAGAGCTCTGAGGGTTTCCTGTGAGCTGCTGTTAAAGAGCATTAGACCTTTGGCATTACTACTAGTATGTGGGTGCAACATATCAGTTTTCAGAATCAAATCCACGAGTCTTGATGTAATGCTTCCTCTGAGAAGAGACGTGCATTCATCACATACAGTATATGCTGGTCATTTAGTCGAGCTTTCCATGTTTAATGACTCTACTGTGCACAGAGACAGAGTCCCTTGGCAGGCTGCCCCTCATGACAACAGAAGCTGAGAAACAGGTAGTTCCACCTGTGTGTGTGGTTCCACCTTCACCTCTCTCACTGTCTCGCTTCTCAGTGTTTTGTTTTTTGTTTTGCTTTTTAAAAATAAACCCTTTGAATTGGGATTCAGATCTGTTATGACTTTTTATTTTTGTTGAAAACATTTTGTAATTTTTTTCTCATCTGTTCTGTTTTTCATCAGCTCTCTGTCTAAACCTGTTAGTTGTCTTTGCATGTCTGCCGGGTTAACCGCCACCACACCCAGTACCTGTGAGACCATGGTGTTGCTTTGCTGTTGCTTTTTCCCAACTGAACCTCATCTTCCCAGTTCTGAGAAAGTAGAAGCTCCGCCCCGTTTCAAAGACTTTGATTAAATGAAATGACTCGTGATGAATGTAGGTGGCAGGTGTGGTCAGGAAAGCGAGCTAAATGAACGCTAACGTGTGGCTGGAGGTATTACAGTACGTTGCAAAATAAGCGCCTTCTCGTCTTTGTTATTGTTGGACGTCCTCATCAGAAGATGGTCACACTCGGGTAGGCTGTGGAGTTTGAACATCAGTCAGTTGGTACTAAGGGTCCCTCGCACTATTACACCACCACCAACGTGAACTGTTGATACAGTTGGTAGGTGGATCGATGTTTCCACATTTTTATGCCAAATTCTGATGCAAACAGCCAAAGGTTGCAGCAGAAATCGATACTCATCAGACCAGTGAAAGTTTTTATTTTATTACAATCTTGTATTGTCTACATTTGGTGAGCTTGTGTTAATTATAGCCTCAGTTTCCTTTTCTTAGTTAGGCACAGGAGAGGTACCCAGTGTGGTCTTCTGCTGCTGCAGCCCATCTGCTTCAAAGTTTGTGTTCAGAAGTGCTCTTCTGCATGCCTTGGTTGTAACAAGTGGTTATTTGAGCTATCATCAATACATCATTTTAGCTGAGAAAACTCCCACTCGCTGGATTTTTACTTTAAGTGTAAACCCTACAGATGATTATGTCAGAAAATCCCAGTAGGTCAGCAGTTTGTGAAATACTCAGACCAGCCAGTCTGGAATCACCAGCTGTGCCACATTCAGACTCACTTGAATCACCTCTCTTCCCCATTCTGATGCTCAGTTTGTGCTTCAGCAGGTCGTCTTGATCACGTCTATATGCCTAAATGCATTTAGTGATTAGATATTTGTGTTGATGTGCAGCTGACCTAACAAAATAAGGGGCGGGTGTATATTTTACCAAAAAAAAGGTCATGGCTATTTGTCTTTCAATCACAAATCCATTAATTACATTAAGATAATTAGACAGGGATCAGGGCTTTCTCTTTTACCAGGCTGTCTGGGTGCTTGTAAACACAACAGGCGCTGGGCAGAGATAAACATCACATGATGCAACAGCACACCACTGTTATGGCCTCATAGCCTCCCTGTTTCCCCCAAAGATTATTTTTAGATTCATTTCACAATATTTAACTGATTTGATATTAAAAGAGGGTGATGAGTAACCTGCAGTGATAGCTTTTGACTTTAAAATGTTAAGCATTTGAGGTTTTCATGCTTCTCTTTGTGCTGCTTTGTGTTTTATATATATACATTTTCACATGCTGAGTATAGAGAGTACCTAAAATGTGATTTTTAGTTAACCCATCATCAACCATCGCCCTCAACGGGAAGCATGAAAAGGATTCACGTGATCAGCGAATCAAACTTTTATTCTAGACACAAGTTTTGGTTCAGACCTCCTGACTGAGGCGGCTGTGCAAATGTGTGGGTACAGAGCGCCCTCTAGTGATATTTTATGGGTACTGAAGGTAAAGCAGTTAAAAAAAAAAGTTGCTGTTACTAAATACCATTTCTGATTCGGCATTTTCCATTTAAATTGCTTTAATATTTGCAAATGTAAAAAAAACAAACAAAAAACATCTCTAGTACTTTTTTATTTTCTGTGCACACAGGCGCAGTTTTCAGGAAACGTGCAGATCATCTCAAACAAACACGTTTTGCTGGCGTTTCTTGATAACTGTGAAGGTTATTATCCTCCTTGGTATATACTGGAAAATAAGCTGCAGTGAGTCAAGCTTTTATTAGTGATTATTATCAGGTGTTACCCAAAACTTTTTTTAAAAACATGAGTTATATCAGTTCCATTTCAAAATATAATGCACAGATTTATTAATGCAGGAAGAATCTATTGTTTAGACGAGGGGTGTCAAACATGAGGCTCCTGAATCAAAGACTCCAATCCAGCCCGAAGGGTGGCTTTGGAAAATGTGAATTAGGACTTTTAACTGTATTTTCACAACAATTTTATAAGTAACTTAACTTAACTTAACTTAACGTAATTTAACAGCGTTTCCTATTGATAACGATCTCGTCATGGCCATTCACAATACACCAGAGTAATTAAACTATAGATTTGTGTAATTTTACACATTTTCTTCTTACAAATTAGGCCCAGAGTCATGCTGACAGATTTCTTTCATTTACTGCTGCACCGTTTCTTTATCACGTAGAAAAACTGAGACATAATGTCAAAATTGTGTTTCTTTGTCTCAGAGACTGAATGTGTAGTTTAACTTCTTTACAGTGATGGAAACTGGAGTAAAATGATTTGACATTCCAGGCTTAGTAAGATCATTTGCTTTCACATTATCCCACAATTACATCATGAGATTACGACTGGCTCACTTAAATCTTTTTTAATTTAACATCTGTGTTGCAGAACCAGTTGTGCAGCAGTACAGAACCAGAGCCCTGCCTCACCGGGCCGATGTGGACCATGACGCCTCGGTGGATGTTACCTTAAATGTGGACCGGAGTGTAGATGAAGATTACAGCAGGGAATCATCAGAGCTGGCACAGTAACCTGCAGGAAGGAGGCTACCTGTTAAATTCTGCTGTCTTTAAGTCTGCTGCTGCTGCTTGGGAATGCAAAAACAGGAGTTTTCAATCGCTTGTCTGTTACTTGTTGCTGTTTCCTAGAATGCTTGCTCTCCAGTTTTCAACATACTGATAGTTCAAGAACCACACTGGTAGTTTAGTTTAGTCATTTTTGTTACAGAATCCTCAGGATATTCCTCGCACCATTTTGTCATCTTACTATTTTCTTACCCTGAAGTTATGTTCAAGTATTAAAGACTGTATTAAAAATCTGCCTCATAATTTTTTGCAGCGATTTGATCAACATTTGTTGCTTTTAAATCATTTGACTTGACACAGAGACACAGAGTGCATTATTCTACCCCGTGCTATGTTTTTATCCGTGTTGGTGACTGTGACTAAACAAAATGGTTAAAATGCTGCAACTGTTACTGGGTACAAATAAAATTGGATCATCTTTTTAAAGAAACTCCCAAAGACACGCAGTTAGATGTTACATTGATTTTTAGCAATTCCAACTGCCAAAAA